GAAGATTGAGGCCTCAAGAGGTCGCTTTTGAAGTCCGCTCGGCGAGGGGTGTGAGTAGGCCTTTGATCTTTGGCCATTCTCTGACTAATAGCAGACATTTTCGCTAAGAATCCGTTGACCAGTTCAATAATAATGAGGAGGAATCTTGAAAAACGAATCTAAGTAATGAACTGCAAGGCTTTAAGGGGGGACATCTGAGTAGAATTTTGAAAAAATCGAAATTTTTTTTTTTCGCTTAAAAAATTTTTTAGGGTTTTAAAAATTACATATCAAAAGATAGAGTCCCGCAAAAGTGTCTAAGTGCCGAAATTTTCCATTCTGCGGCGATGCCTCACAGGTATGTCCCACAGTAATTAAAACTTTAAGCTCGTTTTTCTCGAAACTTCTTTTTTTGGTTTGGCCGAACACCTAACTCGAACAACTCTTAACCTATCGATCTAAAATTTTGACAGTATACTCAGAATACCTATGTCTATCGACACACGTAGGATTTTTTTTTTATTTTGCTTACTTTTTTTTTTATCAACAATTTTGTGACGTTTTTTGTTAGTGAAAATGGAAAATTTTGTTCAATCACTTGCCATTTTGGAAAAAATCAATATATCGAAAAAATCCTACGTGTGTCGATAGCCGTTGAGATAAAGAAACTAACAAAACTTGATTTTTTGTTCTAGATCAAAAATTAAGGACGTTAGGTGTTCGGCCATGGACCCCCTTTAAAAAAAGAGGGCCTACGAATAATGGCTGCAGGGCCGCAATGTTGTTTTCGATTTATAAAAAAAAATTTTTTTGTGTAGTTTAAATATAATATAATAAAACCCCATTTACAAATTTTCGATTAGCTGTTTTGATTTGGTCAAAAAAAATTCGAGAAAAACCGTTTTTTTTTGGCCTGTTACTCAGATGTCCCCCCTTAAGGTTGAACTTTATTTCCATATGACCTGCTTTTGTTCGATTTCCTAGCCTTTCCTAGCCATCTTTTTTCTAAACGCCCTTAAACGAGCATGTGAAACGGCACCTCGTCCAACACTCTTGAGTTCCAAAACCTATTCATGCCATCCACTGCAGCATAATTTTCAATTGCTCTGAAAAAGCCAGAGCCTTCGTTTGAATTTGATTCGATTTTTGCTCAATCCACCGCATTCTGGCAGGTGAGAAGGAGGAACATTCCATTGAAATCCAGCAACCAGCAACGATTTTGCAGACCTCGATATGTCTGAGAACTTGCCTCAGTTGTCAAGTCGGAATCAAACATAGATTCCCCAGGCAGGCAGACTCTCTCCTGGCTTCCAATCTTACCAGTTCTAGGCCGGCATGATAAATTAATTAAAACGACTTGACTTTGATTTCGTGCCCTGATGCCTCTTGAGCTGATAACTTCGTTGGAGTTTCATTTCTGGCTTATGGTCTTGCATACTAAGCAGTACAATAGTTGTCACTTTAAAAGTTTGCAAGAACTCTAAACAGGGCCAAATAAACTCTGATATTCCCACAAATAAGGACACATGTACTCTCAATTTCCGTGCCCTCACAAACCAGAAAAACAGACAACAAAGACTCTGGTCCTCCACCCCAAATCCCGCCACTCAAACCGGCCAGAAAAAGGCAATTTCACATAAAAGCCGCAAACAGATGAAACCGACAGAAGGGCCAGAATAGCCACACAGATTCATTCCGGAGGGTGGACATATGAAAATAATGCGTGCCGCACAAATTTCGATGCAGTTCCACAAACAGTAACCCGGCCATCACTCTCACCTGGTGTGTGTCCTCAAAAGTGCACCGAAAAATATGGATGGTTATTATAGGAAATTTAAACTCTTAGTTTATTTAATTTATAAACAAACTCTCATTCTTAAGAAACTTAAAACTCTTATGAGTAATTTTAGTTTGAAATATTAAAAATTTTTATTAATTTTGTCTTAGTGGAATGGCTTAGAGAGTAGAGATTTGGCACAAAATGTCAGGCCATAATAGAGTCTGGCTGGCAGTTGGAATTAGCATGCATGTGGATATGTGTGTGAATGTAATTACCAAACACAACAGACACAGGCCAACCCCCTAAGGGCTGGGGAATGGGCCGGCACTTGGCTTTAAAAAGCCCTGCAGCCGAATCGCTTGTCAATCATACAATTATTGGCACACAAAACCAGAAAACCGCCAGAAATCAGGACCACCACCCTCAGGCCGGCCCACTTAATTGTTTTTGCTTGTTTTGGCTTTTGCGGTTTGCATAATTCATGATGACGACGACGGAGGAGGAGGAAGAACTGGGCCAACCCTTTAATCCTCTTTTTGAGAGCGCCGCTCCTTGGGTGACGTTTTCCTTCCCCTGTCAACTGCAGTCGATTTAATGTTCAAGTATTATTTTCAGCGGCGCTGCCGGGAATTAAGTGAATTGTCAATTTGCTTGTCAATTGCGCATTTGCCCCTTGAGGTTGGTTGGTGTGGTGGCTTTAAGTCCCTGGCTACACGGGTCAGTGTCTGGGCAGCAGGATTACCAACGAATTGGGTCAAAGTTGAAGGAACTTTTTACACGATTTTAGGGGTTGATTTGGGGATTTTGCGAAAGCGTGGTAAGGACTTGTACGCTCCTGTATTTGTAATAATTTTAAAATGTATTGATTTCGGACATCAAGGATATCAATAATTTGATCTAATGAGGGAAATAGTACCAGCTTTGACACCACTTTGAACCAACTTCACCAATAATTACAACTTCCACCACAAATTGCAATTAGTTTGCATATTCTGTCGAAAATTATGGACACACCCCAGCTGGATCCTGGCGCGAAAAGCACTCGTCCCATCCCCCAAAGTAGACCACAAAAATTTTTGAAAATTCCTATTAACTCTTCAGCGTAATCCATTTAACGAAGCTCCATAGCGTGTATTTGTTTATACAATAACGGGCTGGAATGTATACATATAGTCGAACTAAAGCCACAGATACCCGCCGATACAAAAATCCCTGTCATATTTACGCGGTGGGGCCGGCGGGGTTGGCGTCCGTGCTGTCAGGACTAGGGTTCCGGCCAAGTCCTTTGTCAAAATGCGGCTTAAAATATTGTGCGCAAATATTTTCATGACAGGTGCATGAAACCAAATTCACACACAAATGCGGCCCGGAACATGCAGCCGCCAGTGTATTAGTGTCAACAAGATTTGGCCAGGATTGTGTATCCTGTACACGCTGTTTTAGTTTTCGGGAAATCCGTTAATGAAAGCCAGCTCAACCTAATGGAGATTTATTGTTTTTGCCACATTCCGCAATATAAACTGTCACATTTATTAGATTACGGTGCCTGTCTTCTCTCATCAGCTTTGGGATTCTTCTGCCATGGGTGTCTTTATTTTTTTTAATGCATGTAGGGGACTCTCTAATGACCTTAATGCACTGTGATAAATCAGAGAGAAGTAAGCATGATTTATGAAACATTAAAAAATTTTGGCTTTCGGAAGGGTAAATGTTCGTGCCACCATAAGTTTTAAGCTTCTAAGGTAATTTAACTTTAAAGCTTAGTCTTTGCTGCTAAACTGGCAAATGTTAATTAATCCCGGCACCTGTGTTTGTCAGGTCCAGGCTGCAAATTACCCTGTCAATCAGCAGCTAATTGCGATTTAGTTTCCAGGGCCATCACAAGTCCAGGAGCATGCCACCCGCAGTCACCCCGCATTTAAAGCACCTGTATGTACAACTCATCAGTGATGAGGGAATCGGGAAGAACAGGACTTTCCAACTAATTAATAGAGCCAGCAATTAGAAGTAATTAAATCATATTGAAAACTTGGCAGGCCATGGCTCTGCAGTCTTCTGCAGAAGAGCCTTTCTACCTTCTCCCGCATTTCTGAAACTTTCTCTCTGCGTCTGTTTATATGAGCCCATCGACAAGGACTTAACCACGCAGAGACCCAGGAATGTGGTAAGAAGTGGGCGGAGGGGGCAAGCCTCCACTTGACACACATACAGATACAAAAACATAGAAACACAGATACTGTAGCTCCAGCAGCTAAGACGCCAAAGTCAACAAAGAGTCCAAGTGGAAAAGAGGGCTTAGAGATGACGTGGCTTTCAAGGAAATTATAATCTTATAGAATTTATTTTAGTTGTAGAACTAATGCTAATTAAACTGCATTACAGTCTCTTAAAAATACAAAGTTTAGCTTGAAAATCTAAAGCCAAATAATTCCAAACAGCCAGCACAGTTACTCTCGTTTAAGCCCTGTTTCTAGCCCAGTTTTGTTGCTTTTTGTGGCCTTTCCTTTGCGGCCAACACCTTTGGCCAAAGGATTTTATTTTAAGCTACCAGGCAGAACACCTTTCATTTGTCCAACTGGGGCTTGGTTTTATTTAGTTGGTCTTTAAATGAAAAATATTCTTAAAGAAAACTTTAAATTATAGGAATTCGTAGCCTTTTTACCTTATGAAGTGTGAAAAGTCCATCCAGAACGGATGGTAGAGTTTCACCAGAGAGGTGAGAACTGCAACTCATGTATTTGATTTTCGATTTCCGATGTCACGTCTTGTCTCTTTGTGGACTTGACTTCCATCGGGTTTCCAATCTACTGCACTGCAGCTCACTCTATATCGATTGCAGTCATTTTTTGTGCATGTGCCTTGCTCTTTTTGTGGGATTTTCGTTGCCAGTATTGCTGATTTTGCGCTTAAGGTTGGTTTTTTTTTATTTTTTCAAGTTCTCCTAAAACTTTGGCTGCTTCACAAAAAGTTTTTGGAAAACTGAAGACGTGCACTTGGGGAAAGTAGGCAACAATTTGCGGATCAAAGACAGGAGTTTACCCCAAATGATGTGCAAACTACTTTGACAAACACGATTAAACAACAAGCGGGGCTCCCAAACAAATGTTGGCGTTAATTTCCAGCCCAGAGATATGTTTCTGAGAAAAACCGAACTAAACTAATTGAGTCTGTCACACCCACCCATCTAATGCTACAAACTTTTGCTCATATACAAAATTTTTCTCTTATTTATCTTTTGCAGTCTGAGGTCGGTCTGAAGTCCCAAGTCTGAAGTCTGAAGGATCCGTCTCCCCGTCAAATGTGAGTCTTAATTTATGCGTTAGAGCTGAGATGTCTGGGTCTGTGTGGAAATGAAATAACTTTCTAGTCGATGCCATCGAAAAGTTATTTGTTTAGGACACCAAGAAAACAAAGACCAAATGATGACAAATGATAAACGACTTTCTTCAGGACACAGAGCGTCCGAGTGTCTATGACAGGAATGGAAAATGTGTATTTCAAAATGCGAAAATTGTCTTTGAAAAATAATTATTGCGGCGCAGATTTTAAGTCAAGGCGGACATTTTAATTAATGGAAGAGAGATTGAATGATTTTGTCCGAATTTTGTGCAGCAAGGTCCTCCATTGTCCTCCTGTGGAGGCACACAGAAAAGTACAAAGTGAAAGCAGGACTAAGGACCCTGGAAAATGTCAAAATATCTCTTATTTTTTCGTTGCCCCTCACCATCTCACCCCCCAGTCAGCTTTGAAGGCAAATATTTGTGAACAAAAAGCCAGCAAAAAATTGTAGGGAATTAGATTTGAATTTTGAGCTTGAGAGGAGCCTGCAGGATAAATGCTCCTTGTTCAACTATCTTTTTGATAAGCTGCCAAGACGACTGAAAACCAAAATTATTTCGTCCTGCCACCAGAAATGATTGTGTGTGCAAACAAAGTTCGGCGACAGGACAATAAGCAATGACACTTTGCATAATGAAATGGACTTTTCTGTCAGAAACCTGTAAACAGAGAGGGATCCATGCTCTTTGAAGACCCAGGCCTTCTCAACGAATTAAATTGTTTTAGCCATTATATGAGGTATACTTTGATGGGCCTTGTTTACCAACCACCATGGCGTATGCGTAATATATTAGTTTTCAACATTTTTAATGCCATTAAGTCAGCATCAGAGTTATGGGCAATGATTAGAGAAGGGACGGCTGCCAAAAAAGCAAAAAGAAACCGGAAAATCCCAGCTCTTAGCCCGGAGTCATAAATTAGTTGTAACCAGAGACCGAAAAAGAGCAAGTCAGGCAGGTGGAGGGGGCGATAGGGAGCAACTGTAACATAAAAACGTCTGTTTTTGCTATAATTGGCCACATATTTTGCTGGCCCCAAAAACCAAACTCAGGTAACGTGCCGGCTTTGCCAGTTTGCCAGTTTTTCCAACAAACCGGGGCGAGGAGTATGCATCCTGTAAACTAGAACAGCCATATCAATATATATTTTCCAGAACATGAACGGGCCGGATACACAAAGCCAACAAAACAACAAAACCGTCTAAAAAGTAGACGGGCAAATAAAATGGCAAAAAACAATCCCATGTTGATGTTTGCCATGGAAATCCTATGGAGCTAGCTGGAGGGTTGAGTGGTAATAATTTTGTAGATAGTTCCACTGGGATAGTTCCTGGCCGGGGAATGAGATTTGGGTTTATCACGTAAATGGAAATGAGCCTAAAAGAGATTTCCTCGGCCAGGGGGAGAGATTACTGTGTCCTTTGTGTGGGCAGAAGGTATGAAAATGAAGTGAAAACATGGTTTTCAATTTTGGGAATTAGGAAACATTTTGTTTTTACTCATGGACAGCTTTAACAACATCATATTTTTTATCACAACTTTATTTGGCAAAATGCAAAGTTATTGCCAGGCAATCAAAGTATAATTTATTGGTTGCAATCCCGTATCCTTTCTGGCCCAGTCAGCAGTTTCCAGCAGCCTCCTGCCAAAGCAATCAATGAAAAGGGCCTAGAGGAGAGGCCACCAAATTGGCAGATGCCGATGGGTTGAGCCAGCTCGTCCTGCACAGGACAAAGAAGCTGCAGAAAGCTTGTTCAACTAAAATGCCAACTCAATCGCCCGCAAAAGGAGACCCACATACACAAAAAACAAGACACACAAGCAGCTTCTCCTAACGATCTCTTGTGCCAGCCAGCCAGCTATCCAGCTATCTAGCTATCTTTTTTCTAAAACATATTGGCAAATGTCGTTTTGCGAGTCGTTATAAAACAAACACAGACACTCAGGAATGGCTGCAAGGACTGCACAGGACACAGGACTCGGCATACACAATGCTCTTCATGCAATTCTAATAATATAAACTTTACATAAATGTTTTCCCTGCAAATAGAGCGAAGCAGCAGCGAAACAGAATGGTTCGAGTGGGTTTTGGTGGAAAGGAGGGTCTATTTGTGTTGGACGCATCTGCTGAGCTGGCAATCGCATTGCAGTTTGTCAGTCAGCCAGGCAGTCAGCCAGTGAGTGGGCCAGCCACCTCCGCCTGTCTGAAAGGGCTTTTTATCTCTGAAATAGTTTTCGTTTTTCCAGGGTATTATTTCTGGCAAGGAAAATAGAAGAGAGACTTGTAGAAAATGCCAAAAATTCGGGCTATGAAACATTTGAAATTGTTTTCAAAGAAAATATAAGACCCAGAGGATATTCTGTTGCTAAATTTTAAGAATAAAGCTCTCGAGATTTCCTCAAAATGGAGAATACTGCCGACCTCTGCCAACCTCTGAATATTCGAGGGAGTTTCTGGGTTTATTTACTTTGTGCCTGATGTGTCACACATGTCGTATGATTGATTTATATTACCAAACACAGAGATTGTTGCACTTTTGTGATTTGTGCTCTGTGTCTTTGTTTACTTTGGTCATATTTTTTGGGCCACAATTCGGGGACTTTTCTCTGTACCTACAAATCCCAAATTGTATAATTAATTGATTGTGATGGATGTCTGATTGGAAGGGATGTGTGAAAAACAGTTGTGAGGAGTCCCCTGGTGCTTCCTGCTGATTCCGGTGTCCTGTCTCCGTTCTATCGCCCAACTAATTGAACAGTCCTCAGCCCACGTTGTGTAGTCCCTGTCCCATAAATAAATATTGCCCAAACTACCTGACCACACCTGACCCAATCCTTTTGCCTGGCTGGGTCCTTGGCCACGTCCTTCCGCTGCCCCGCTGTGGGTCATGTCGTATATTGACCACCAAATGGCAAACATTGCCGTGGTTATTTCATAGTTCAAATGTGTGTGGTCTTGGCAAATAAATAATATATAGTATTGTGTTGTGCTCTTGCCCTGGGTGGTATACATAGTGTATATAGGTGGTAATAAAATTATTTAGTCCTATAAGAAATTAAAGTAATCCCCTTTTTAAAAATCAATATTCCTGCATCTGTTCTCTGAAGAATTGTTGTTTTTCAATTTTCCAGGAAAGAGTACTGGATACAATAATAATAAAACCCAACCGCATATATTTTATTTGCCGACCGGAAGGTCCTCTCGAAAGGTCGCTGCGGGCGCATGTGAGGCTGCCAGTCATAAACTGAGGTCATCCATGCCATGCCAGTTCCCTGGTGGTCAAGGCAATATATGTACAAGAGGTGCTTTAAAAAGCGGGAAGCTTATCTGGGAAACAATTTATTCGCTCTTTACTAACGTGAATCTGGAAGAGAACCCTTATTATCCCGCCATCTAGGCCTTAACTCTAATTGACCACGCCCAGTGGCATTTTTGTGCGAAGTTGTATTTAACTTTAGCTCGACCGAGTAATAATTCAGCCCGCCTTGAACTGCCCAGGTGATTTATGTCGTGCATGGAATTGTGTTCGTGTTGTTGTCCTCACTATATAGTATATACCGGGAGTTGAGGTGCAATCGCATATATGTATATTTTATTGCCAGCGGAATGCGAGGTGGCCAGGTGGCGCCACCTAAAAATGGAACATAAATCTACAAAGTTGAAAGGGTTATAAAAAGCGAGGCGGAAACCAATTTGGGGAACGAGCGCGAGTCAGTTCATCTAGGTGGGCGGAAACGGTTTAATATGTTCACTGATATTCCCTTAATAGTAAGGGAAACCAATTAAAATTAAGTCCGGCGTAAATGGTCGATCAGCTAGCACAGACCATTGGTTAAATATATCGCTTCATACACTACCACCTTTTACCTTAAAAAAGTAGCACGTTTTTGCCATTCCAGCAATTGAGGAACAGATGTGTGAAATTGTCCCTTTTTTTTGGGAAAAGGAAAAATTTGAACTAACAAGAAAACAAGGAAAAAGTGTGGATAGCATCGGGAAAATATTTCATTATTTATAGCATCCACGCTCCCACCATTTTCAACGCTCCTTTGGCTCCTTTTATTTATTTACCTGTGCGTTGGTATTTATTTAGTTTTTCAATTCAATTGAATTTCCATTAACAAATTGCAAGCCCTGTTCTTCGTCAGTTCCGCATCAACGTCAACGTCATGGACATTTTCCCCATTTTCCGGCGAACTTTCCATACATTTTTCTGCTTGTTCAATTTATGGTCGGGGTTTTGTTGTTTTTATCGTATTTGTCCGGAGTGTTCTCTACATAAAAATACCCATAAAAATAAATCAGCAGCGAGGAGTGTGTAGATGAATTTTAGATTTCAACGTCGAGTTTAATTTTCATAAGACTAAATTATAGATTTGGAGGAAAATAATTGAGAGAGCAGTTGATTTCGCATAGAAACGTTTTAATTTTAGTTCCTAACTCTTGATTAAAGATTAATTTAATCAAGGCATCACCTGCTCCATCATCCATCCGGAAACCAAATTTCAACACTCTGCGGTCTGGGGCAGAGTTCTCGGCCAAGCCGCAGCCAGCAATCTGCCGCATTCTTTTTCGAGTTCAGGCTCAAGCTTAAGCTTTCATGGGACTTGACAAAGCCACACCATCGACCAAAGACCAAGGGCCTGACCTGCTTGAGGACTGTTGAATTATAAACTGGCTTCATTACTCGTCCAACCTTGACCGCATGACAAGCTGGAAAATGTTTTGTCGAGTGGCGGCGGCCAGGCCCGAAATGTAGACTCTTTGACAACGCATTCCAGGACCTTCATCCCTCCACTGGCAGATTCCACACCGAAAGTGGCAATAAATTGTGTGTACAACTTTCAAACCAATTAACCCACAAATTTTGCACTCAATTAGCTTCGGAGACCCTCGGAGAGTCGCCTTCCGTCATGTTGCATACTACGTAGTTGTAATTTATTTGTCACCAGTGCTTTGCC